GCCCCGGGGGGCTTGGGTTGTAGAAGCAGCGGCCGCAGCAGCACGGCGGAGCGGAGGCGCCCCAGCATGGCCGACGTGAGTGCGGGGGCAGGGGCCTGGGGGGCGCGGCCTCTCTCCCCCGCTGTCTGCACCGGGGAGAGGGGTGGTGGGGGAGGTCTCCCCGCGTGGCTGAGCTGGTGCCAGGAATCCCCGCCTGGAGGTGAAGCAGATTTGCTCTCGGGGGCTGCCCCCCCAGAAGAAGGGACGAGGAAACTCTCCTCCCCACCAGGAAGCACCCCTTCTTAGGTAGCTTTACATTTGGGGCACAGGCGTGTGCTGGCCAGGACCCTGCAGCTGAACTGTGCCCTGCTTTTCTCTCTTTCTAGGACCTGAAAAGGTTCCTGTACAAAAAGCTACCAAGGTAACGCACGTGCATCATGTGGCCTCCTGGTCTGTGGATGGGGGAGGTCCCGTGGCCTTTGAGGGGGGGGGTGCATGTGGTGTTACATGGGGGGAGTGGGCACCATGTGGCCTCCAGGTGGGGGCAGCAGCACAGCATCCCAGGAATTTGACGGGTGCAGCATGTTCTCTTCTGTGGGGGGAGGGAGGCTGGGGTGTCACGTGTCCTCTGGAGGTGTGGCAGGGTGTCGTGTGTCATCTAGGGGCACGGTGGGCAGTCATGTGGCTTCCTCAGAATTTTCTGCGGTGGATCATCCCTGGTGCTGCTCTGTGAAGAGCGTGTGCTGCTATTTAATTTGAGTCACTATTCTGCCTGCAGCAGAGCTTGCTGTATTGTCTGTGCTGTCAGGATGCTTCAAGAGCCACTGGGTGTTCTGTAAAGTGCTGCAGTACCCCACGATGGAGTCATTCTGACAGAGTGTCTTTGGGCACAAAAGCACGTGTGTTTACTCAGTTCAGTACTTAAATAGACCCTGCCAGCTCGAAATGTAGTACTCTACCCACAAGATGCCCACATCCTTGAAGTAGGCTGAGGTATAGGGCTGGAAGGGACCTCCAGAGGCCATCTAGTCCAACCCCCTGCCTGAGGCAGGATCATCCCTATCTCAACCACCCCATGCAATCGATTATCTGAATTCTACATGAGACGACCATCAACCTTAACACAACACAGCTCAGACCTGCTTTTCATTGTCTGCTACAGGGAAACAGTATGCTAGAACGGATAACTTACTGAATTCAAGGGAAACATCTGTTTTGTTTCTTTAAGGATTGGCGGTTCTCGGTAAATTCTGTTTCTCATAACTGCAAGTAGCTAGCCTAAGGTATTGATTGATATCCTTAAGTGGATGTGCTCTGTGACTCTAAATGCAGTGAAGCCTGCACTAAGGGTCATCTCCCATAGTAATCCTCTTCTAAAGCTGAAAGGCCCACATGAGGGGTTTTGGGTTTTTTTGGTACAGTTACCTTCGTACTTCTAAGATGTGCATAAACACAGCACTGTGAATTTTGCAGGTCTGTTTGATTAAGCAAGGCTTTAAGTGATAACAGTGGGAATGTGGTGACATCCTTTTTCCTTGCAGTTTACTCACACTCGCTTTTGTGTGCTTTGTGGCAGGCCAGTAGGGGGCACTCCTGCACTGAGCCACCCACCTCACTGCGCCTGACCACCTACCACCCTCCAAATGCCTCCCTGGGGATGCCTCACATCTGGCTGACCCCCTTCCTGGAGCACATCCGCTAGCCTGGCGTTTACCCCCGCCACCGCCCAGGGTTGGGTACACACACCGTGTAGTTCTTGAGGGTACTCAACCCACTGTAAAAGCTTGGGGTGCTTCCTTTAGCCTGAAGCACAAAAGCAGCCTCCCTTAGTCAGCCGGACCAAGGGGGCACAAAGGCATGCCTCTCCCAACAAGTCCACCACACTTAATACAGTGAAGAACTTTATTGGTTACAAAGGGGAGGCTTGGGGGAGGGTGCAGGATAGAGAAATACTACAAAATAACTCTTAAGTAAACAGTGGCATGGTCGCTTTTGTAACACAGGTGCGTGATCTACAGGCTATATATCTATTTAGGTTCCAAGTGGTTTACTCACAAGTATCATCCAGAGGCTGATTGAGCGTTGCTCTGGAGGCAGACAGTTTGTAGTGTGTCCACATGATGAGAGAGCTGCAGATGTTCAGCTGCTCTCAGTGTCTTCATCATGGCTACAACCCCTCCTCCTGGGCAGTCTTGGCATATATAGGCCTTTTGACATCATGTACCTGATCCAGTGAAGGCCATCACTTGGTGGCTCCCAGCCAGCCAACTTGAAGTGCATCACTGGTTACCGAGCAGAGGGGCAGGGCTCCTACCTCCACCTCTAGTCATGAGGTCCTTGCTAAAACAATAGCGAGCTTAAGCCCCCACCCTGGTACCTGTCCCCAGGCACATAGATTCATAGATGTTAGGGTCGGAAGGGACCTCTATAGATCATCGAGTCTGACCCCCTGCATAAGCAGGAAAGAATGCTGGGTCTAGATGACCCCAGCTAGATACTCATCTAACCTCCTCTTGAAGACCCCCAGGGTAGGGGAGAGCATCACCTTCCTTGGGAGCCCATTCCAGACCCTGGCCATTCTAACTGTGAAGTTCTTCCTAATGTCCAATCTAAATCTGCTCTCTGCTAGCTTGTGGCCATTATTTCTTGTAACCCCCGGGGGCGCCTTGGTGAATAAATACTCACCAATTCCCTTCTGTGCCCCTGTGATGAACTTATAGGCAGCCACAAGGTCGCTTCTCAACCTTCTCTTGTGGAGGCTGAAAAGGTCCAGTTTCTCTAGTCTCTCCTCGTAGGGCTTGGTCTGCAGGCCCTTAACCATACGAGTGGCCCTTCTCTGGACCCTCTCCAGGTTATCCGCATCCCTCTTGAAGTGCGGCGCCCAGAATTGCACGCAGTACTCCAACTGCGGTCTGACCAGCGCCCGATAGAGGGGAAGTATCACCTCCTTGGACCTATTCGTCATGCATCTGCTGATGCACGATAAAGTGCCATTGGCTTTTTTGATGGCTTCGTCACACTGCCGACTCATGTTCATCTTGGAGTCTACTAGGACTCCAAGATCCCTTTCCACTTCCGTGCCACCCAGCAGGTCATTCCCTAGGCTGTAGGTGTGCCGGAAATTTTTCCTCCCTAGGTGCAGTACTTTGCATTTCTCCTTGTTGAACTGCATTCTGTTGTTTTCTGCCCACTTGTCCAACCTGTCCAGGTCTGCTTGCAACTGTTCCCTGCCCTCCGGCATGTCCACTTCTCCCCATAGCTTTGTGTCATCTGCAAACTTGGACAGAGTACATTTCACTCCCTCGTCCAAGTCACTGATGAAGACATTAAAGAGTATCGGTCCAAGGACCGAACCCTGTGGGACCCCACTTCCCACACCCTTCCAGGTCGAAACCGACCCATCCACCACGGCTCTCTGGGTGTCACTCACACATCCTTGATATAGAAATTATTGTATGAGATTCTTTGGCAGGTGATCAGAATAGAAAATCCTAGAAAGGAACATTAATCTTTCTCTACATTCCTCCTTGTAGGTAGGAAGTAGGGCTCTTCTAAATATTTTATCATTAATTTTGTTTTAGAAATGATTTGAGATCAAGGGACTGGAATTCTCCCATTATGAACACAAACCCTGAAAATCATTCATGTAAGAGTATGTGGTATTGTATGGGTATGGTTACATGGCATGCCCTTAGAATATGTATCCACTGCAGTGGTAGTATATCCTATCCTGGAGACCCCAAAGCATGCTCCTATTTGTGTGCTCCACATCTGGAAATGCACTGGAGAGGACACTTCTGGGCATTCAGCTGCTGTCATATGTAAAACACCAGTCTTCAATGTGTTTCAGAGCAGTCTGGAACATGTAATTAGGGGTGGACAGCCTGGGAGAGTCCATGCTGAGATAAGCTTGTTGCTATGGTTAGCTATACACTCAATAGTCACTGTAATTCATTCTTCACTCAGACAGGTTATTCCATTTAGAATAGATCGCAGCCTCTTACAAGGGGGGTTATTGCTCAATTTTAGATTCTTAGATCTGTGTAAAATAGTACTGTTTCATCTGTGGAAGTGTAAAGATGTTTCTTCTTGCAAATAGTGACATGGCTGAGCTTCTGAATGCAGACAGATACCTCTCCCACAGTGCCTTCAACTTTTACTAGTAGTGGGGGGCTGTTTTCTCATTAACAACTATTGCAGATATTTTACCAAAATGCTCTCTTGGGTATAACAACTGATCTGTGTGGACAACTTTTAGCATTTCTTTGATTCACGGGAATTGTTGTTTCCTTTGGTTCTGTCGCAATGCAATGTTATTGCTTTGGACAGAGAGAGAGAGAGAGAGATTTAAATTATTTGCTGTATAATGTTCAATGCCCAGTGCTAAGGAAGCAAGGCTATCTTGACTTATTTCCTATTAAATGTTTTGGCAGCATGATGTACATGTACTGTGTACTTCATCCTCTCAGGTACAGTGGAAAGACAAGGCATGTTAAGGAGGTGTCAGAGCTGTTCCACTATGATATAACTTAAAGTACTGGGGGTTGGTGGAGGGAGTTTTAACTGGCACCCCTACATAACATTCCCCTAACTTTTCTCTGCTACCTTTCTCCTGATACACAACTTCTTTCCC